CCATAGTTTAAACTCACAGGACCTACCCTTGATAAAACGGGACAGCGTGACTGAAATCTGGCAACCAGGGTGAGGAGAAGCAGTGAAACGATGTTTCTAGATGCTTAGTCACTACTCTTGTCGGTGTTGGAACGTTGTTTAGTTGATTTTAGCCTATAGCACATAAATTTGGGTAGAATAAAACTTTGTTTCTCCAAACTGAGGAGGTTATTCAAATAAATGTCTATAATAGGTAAGATATTAAATGTGCAACAATTTGTTGCACATTTTGCCCAATTATTGTTGGGCAACAAAACTCAACTTGAAAAGCTAAGTATTCTTTTTTTTGCAGGAAAATTTTAGAAACCCTGCCTTTTTGTGAACAGTTGCTTTCAGCATTCATGTAAGTGAGATGACTGGCGTTATCAAAGTAAATGTGGAAGTGTGCCGTGAGTATCCGTGAGTGCAACTACAGCGTGCGTTCTCAAGACACAATTACCTGCAGTGTCCCCTCACTGCGGACCAAACTAGGTAAAAGGGCCTTCTCTTACTCCACTCCTGTTTCCTGGAATATCTTGCAAAAGATCTGAAGCGCTCAACCGTGACCACTCTAAGGGACTTTAAACATCTGTTCAGTTCATGGCAAAAGCCAATGCAGACATGTTCCTGTTTTTATTATTTTACATTGCTTTGTAATGTAGCTGTTTTTGTTTTGTTTTTATTTCATTTCTTCTATTTACTTTTTCATTTTATATGCCTTTTATACTTTATGATTGTCTATTGTTATTTGTACCTCATTTGTGTTCTTTGTTTAAAATGGGTCTCGCTTGTATACGAATCCTCGGGGCTTAGTGAGACTAACATGTAGAAATAAAAGTGGAATGAATGTGCATTAAAATTACAGGAACATTGAGCCTTGTTATGTAAATGATGGTGTGTAATTGCGGCTGTGGCTGAGTGTTTAGAGCAGTCGTCCTCCAATGCAAGAGTTGGGTGTTTGAACCCCACAGCAGTCACATGCCAAAGTGCCCCTGGGCAAGACACTGAACACCTTGTTGCCTCTGATGTGTGTGCCATCACTGTATGAATGTGATCTGAAGCACTGAGTAGTCTCTTTAGAATTATTTGTTCAATTAGCTTTGTAGAGATCTAGTAGAGTGCTGTATGAATGGGTAAATGAGGGCACAGATTGTAGTGTAAAGCGCTTTGTGTATCTCAATAAGATAGAAAGGCACTATATAAGTACAGTCCATTTACCATTTACCATTTTACTTGCAGAAAGTAAAGTGCATTCTTTTCTTTTCTCATTAGCTTGTTCAGTCTTTATAGCTGAACTGAAATCAGCTTTGAGCCCGACTCCAACAGGACTTATTTAATATTTTTTTAGCCAGCAGTGGAAGGAAAATGTAATACGGTAGATTTTTTTTTTTAATGGCTGTTTCACTGTTGTTTTTGTACAGCTGCTGGCAAAATAAATAACATTTTCCTCAGTTTTCCTCTTGTTCTCTTTCAGGTTCTCTCTGGTTCCCGGACTGCACCCCGACTGGATGTTCATGTTGACCTTCGCTCACACTCACCTGACTGTGACGGTAACTCTGGGTCTGCTGCTTGTTCCAAAGGTAAAACTGTAACCTCAACCATGATGGGTACAGACTAAGTCAAAAGGACTTGACCACCAATCACATAGATAAATCACATTTAGATGCTTATAATCAATGGTCAATTAACATTTTCAGTTGTTTCCAGTCGCAGAACAAAGAAAAAGACCTAGAGATATACTCCATCCATTTATTTGTGTTTTGTGCTGGATAACTTGAAAATCAAATGAGATGCCGACTACCATTTTGGTGTGTGGCTACTTTTACAGTAGGAATAGGAAAGATCTCTATCAAAAATTGGATCGCCAATTTGAAAGAAACTATGCGTTTTAGTTTTTATTTTGCATAAAAGTATAGTTTCTTCAAATGATTGGGGTGGCCCTTCAGGTGGCCGAAAATTATTCTTTGGTGGCAAAGGCCACCATTGCCTAACCCCTGGCTGCACCATTGACCAACTCCTGGCTCCACCACTGACCAACCCCTGGCTCCACCACTGACCAACCCCTGGCTCCACCACTGACCAACCCCTGGCTCCACCACTGACCAACCCCTGGCTCCACCAATGTGCCTGGCAGTGGATAAAATGGCTTCCTCTGTAGCTCCGAGCTACCTCTGTTCTTCAGTACAGAGTACTTCTGGTGTATCTTGTACCAAAAACATTTAGGTTTACTTGCATTCCTTGTTCAACTCCATTCCAGAAAGAGCACTTAATGGGCGGCTGTGGCTGAGTGGTTAGAGCAGTCGTCCTCCAATGCAAGAGTTGGGGGTTCTAATCCACCAGCAGTCACGTGCTGAAGTGTCGCTGGGCAAGACACCGAACCCCTCATAGCCTCTGATGTGTGTCCCATCAGTGTATGAATGTGATCTAAAACACTGATTAGTCTCTTTAGAATGATTTGTTCAAATATCTTTGTAGAGGTCTAGTAGAGTGCTGTATGAATGGGTAAATGAGAACACAGGTTGTAGTGTAAAGCGCTTTGAGTATCTTGAAATAAGATAGGAATGCGCTGTATAAGAACAGTCAATTTACCATTTACCATTTTACTTTTCTCAAAAACTACAAACAGTCACTATTCAAATCATTCAGTGATGGAGACTTCGGCATACTGCTTACCCATGCGATATCAGTGAGCAGTGAAACTTCTAGTCCAGCCAGGCTCCTTTACTATCATTACTTTATACTCCATCAAACTGCATTAAGTGCTCACCATAATTTAGCTTAAGTGCTCAAGTGGGTGTCTTTAGGGCTGATGGAAAACATTTATTTGTCCCGCTGTGAGAGAAATATGCTCTCTGTTCTTTTATTCTGTCCTAATTAGGCTCCTCCTCATCATCATCATCATCATAACCTTTATTTAACCAGGTTTGTCCCATTGAGATCAAAAGATCTCTTATACAAGAGAGACCTGGCCAAGACTGACAGCATACAGAGAGAGGGGGGGAAAAAAGACAAACACTCGGTAAAAAACACAGTTACAACACATAGTCAGAATAAACATAGACTTAAATAACAAACGACTCAATTAAAACATATACACTTCTGCAATTTGAGTAAAAAGCGATCTATAAATGTATTAAATACATTCAGCGATACTAGTGTTCCAAGTTTAAGCTTTGATTGTAAACTATTCCATGAGGTTGGAGCAGAAAAGCTAAAGGCTTTCTTGCCCCTTTCTGTTCTGACACGAGGAACACTAAAATTTAAAAAGTCTTGACTGGAGGCTGTAGGTCTATTGTTTAAAGTTAACAATGATGAAAGATAAGGTGCTGTCAACTCAAGAATAGCCTTGTAAATCAAAACATACCAATGGCCAAGCCGACGTACTGTTGTATGTGCGGGTAACCCAGTTGTAACGAGACCCAGAACGACACAAGACTCAGGCTACGAAAAGTGATGTTTATTTACAGTGATACTAGAAAAATATATACAATCTATACAGGGCCCTGGGACTGGAACTCCTGGAAGAGGGAAATAGTTTG